CCCCTGAACGATGCGACGTAACCCCAAAGGGTGTTTAATACACCCCCGGGCAAGAATGGGGAAACTAATAATTTTCCGCCGGCTTATTGACGGATTGGGGCCCCGACAATAGTTGGAAATCAATTATTCTCGTCGGCGGATGCATGACGGAGGAGGAGGAGGAGGTGGAGGAGGTGGAGGAGGAGGAGGAGGAGGAGGAGGCGGAGGAGGAGGAGGTGGAGGAGGAGGCGGAGGGGGAGGGGGGAGGGGGAGGGAGGAGGAGAGGAGGAGGAGGAGGAGGAGGGGAGGAGGAGGAGGACGGAGGGGAAGGAGGAGGGAGGGGAAGGAGGAGGAGGAGGAGGAGGGACGACTTTCGATCCCCGTAGAGAGTTTTTTTGGGGGGGGCATCATGAAAGACCCTCTGCGGTTCAGGGGGGGATGCCGACGGGGGCGCCATACAGTCATCGCCCTGCCACGAGGAAGGCCTGGCGAGGAGCGCAGGAATGCTTCGCTGGCCACGGCGGGCCTCGGCCAGGGAGACTCCGCACGACCCGGCCCTCAGGAACGGCCTGCGTACACCCTGCGAAATGCTTAAGAAATCATGGGTTAAGAAATTCATAGTCTCAGAACTTGAATAAAAACCCAACCTTTCTGTTAAAATCTTAAGATTTACATTGAAACGTTAAGAATAATCGAGACTCTGGCCGAAAACTTAGGTTTTCTTAAGCATCGCCTAAGGCGTAGTCCCCCCCCCTTGAACCCAGAGTTGTCCTTCTTTCGGCGCCGTGGCCGTGGGCGGTAAGCGCGGAGGGCCGTCGAGGGCTGCAGGCAGCCGGCCCTGCCGGGGCCCGACGAGGCCTCTCGGCTGCCACCGCGGCCCCTCGAGGTGCCAGAGAGGTGTGCGCCTTCTCGCCCCCTACCGTTAGGTCGGGCATGTCCTCCTACAGGCGGACCTGGGAAGAAACAAGCCGTGTTTGCTTTTTTTGTTACAAGCAAAAAACACTAAACAATCAAAACTAGTAGACAAATCGTCCCCAAACTATTTTTACTAGTTTGGAGTTTTCATCCTGTGGAGGGATATGCCCGACTTAACCCTACAGGGGTATATGTATGGCCGTTGCCGTCTGCCCGATTGATGGGGGTTCACGGGCACACCCTGGGCATTCGAAGAGCAAGGGGTGAAATGGAGCGGGCCCCTTTTCGACACGAACCCATACGACGATACGACGATCAAGCTTGTAGTTTTCTCTTGAGACATCTTCGAAAAGGACTGGTTTCGAGCGCGGGTTCCAGCGGTTTCCACACGGTCTTCGTTGGTGTCCGCGACCCAGAGGCGATAAGCTCACGAACCCGGACGAACCCGGACGAACCACGCCGACAGACCCAGAGGCCGACAGACACAGAGGCCACAAGCCGATCGCCTAATCACCGCCTCTCGCGCCCAGCCGCACTGACCTTGTATCAGCGGGCACGGTTGGGCAGCTCATTGAGAGGTGGCCAGAAACATCAATGCCTCGAGGATGACCTCAAAGCTACTCTACCGAGGGGTCTCTACGAAATGCGAGCCCCAATCGGGAAAGACGAGTCGTAGAGACTAAAGGAACGTTCACCGTGATTCGACGCATCTAGAAACATGGCGCCAACCCGATGTGAAACAGGAGGGAACAAACAGAAGGAGGAACGTAGAGGAAGAAGCGGCGAGGCGGAGGGATTGATGTGCGACGGACAAGAATAGACCTGTCTTGGCTTGGCTTGTTTTTGGAGCCTGTCCGAATTCCAATCTCGAGACGACTGGGCACTAGGCCAAGTTAGGTCGTCGGTTCAAGCTCGTGCCACGGCGGAATGCCCAGGACGTGGTTGCCCGCTAGCGGACCAGACCCCTTGGTCAGAGGGGGAAAGAAGGATGATGACGAGAAGGTGGAGAATGAAGAGGGGAGGCATGGGGAGGTGATGAGAAGAGAGAAGAGCAGAGAGAGAGAGAGAGAAAGAAGCAAAAAGGCGAGAAAGAGGGGGAGAGAGAGGGGGGGATAACATAAGAGAGGGGGAGAGAGAGAGAGAGAGATACATATATATACATACAGACATAACAAATAACACAGCATGAGAATTTGTCCTCGGTCAGCCAGTCGGCGGACGACCTACTCCACCCTACGAACGGACAGCTTCCACAGAGAGACAGACAGCAGACGTCCCTCGGGAAAGACAGGACGAGCTGTCGGCCACCCCCCCCCCTCAGACGCATCTCACCTTGCGCGTGCCGGTCTTCCCCTCCTGACCCCTCCTGCTTCTCTCGCCGCTGCTCCCCCCCCCTCCAGCTTCTCTCGCACTATCCACTGTCCTCCTTCCCTCCTGCTCCTCCTCACCCTGCAGCCTGTTCCTCCCCTTGCTCGCCCTCCGTCTTCTCATCGTCGTCCTCGTCCTCCTCCTCGTCCTCCTTCTCCTCCTCCTCCTCCTCCTCCTCCTCCTCCTCCTCCTCTTCTCACTCTTTGGCCTCCTCCTCCTCCTCTCCAGACCTTCAGCTGGCGTTGGACAGGCCTCCGAAACCGCTTGGAGCTCGTGGGGCCCCGTCGCAGGAATGTGGACGCGGAGAGGCGGAGACGTCAACGAGGGATGGGGAAGGGACGACGACGACGACGAAGGCGACGCCGACGCCGGCGCCGACACCGACGCCGACGCCGACGAAGACGCCGACGACGACGACGATGGAGGGCTTCCGACGTGCCGAGGAAATGTCCCCCAAAAGGGCGGAGAGACAGTGGAGCTAGAGGCGTCAACCAGGGACAGGGAAGGGGCGACGACGACGACGCCGACGCCGCCGCCGACGCTGACACTGGCGCCGACGACGACGACGACGGCGACGACGACGACGACGAGCACGAGGACGAGGATGAGGACGAGGACGAGGACGCCGACAGCGACGCCGACGAGGGGTGTGGGCGGGACGGGGGGAGGAGGGAGCAGGTGGGGAGAAGGGAGGATAGCAGTCGGAGACACCGGCAGGGGGGGGAGAGAAGGGAGAAGGGGGGGAGAAGGGAGAGGGGAGGAGGGAGGAGGGGGCAGGGTTGCAGGGAGGGAGGACAGCAGTCGGAGACCGCAACAAAAACAGCACGCCCTGCCAGAGGCATCCTGTAGGGCACAAGGTCGTGGCGACGGCGATCGGGCGAGGCCGTTCTTTGCCTCGCTCTCTGCTTCCCCCCACTCGTCATCCTCGCCCGCGTCCACTGTGCTCTGATCCTCCTCGTCCTCGTCGTCTTCGTCCTCTTTTACGTTGCTCTGATCGCCCTCGTCCTCGTCTCCTCCTGCTCCTCCCACCTGGCGGTAGCGATGTCGGCGGAACGGTGAGGAGCTGTGCGCGGCGTGGGTCCACTCCTGTCGGCGGTGGACAGACCTCCCTTTAGTAAACTTCCCTTTGGTGAAACTTCCCTTTAGTGAAAGCGGCCTGGGACCGAAACCGACGGACCTGGACCCGCAAAAATGACGGCCGCGACGCCCTCTCGCGAACCGAAAACGGCCAGTTCGCTAATCGACGTGTCAGGGTAGGAGGTCTGTCCACCCCCGATCCTGAGCGTTGGGGGTGGCGTGGGTCCTTGCCCTCCTTCTCCTCCTTTACATATGCATTCTCCTCCGCCTTCTGTCCTGCCTGCGTTGCATCTCATCCCGCTCGTCGCCACTCTTCGTTTGCGGATTCCACGACAATGGGCACCCTAACAATTCTATCAATGAATGTTGCATGTGCTGTAAATGTCGGAAAATGTTGTCAACATGGTTAAACATGTTTACAACATGCTTAAACCATGTTTAGGACATGCTTAGACATCCGGGAACTATTTGGCAACATGCTTCCTCTCCATTGATCGTCCTCCACAACACTCTTCCTCATCCATCCTCTCCCTTCCTTCCTGTCCTTTGATATCGTTCTCTCTTCCTCTATGCTCATGCCCTGTCTCCTTGTCGAGTCGCAACTCCGGGCCCAACAGTCTGGCACCGCAGGCAGTGGTTCCATGTGGGTGGCTACATGCGACGTCGCCAACCAGCGGCAATGCAAGTCAGGCCTGGAGGATCCAAGATGGCGCCTCCGACGAGGCGCCCCGGGAGGAGTCCGAGGGGTTCCCGAGGCGGCTCTGTGGGGCTCTACCTGGCAGGCGCCAGGAGCTTCCCCAGCGCTTTGAGTCTCTCCCGACGCCTCCCCGTGCGGCAGATTCTTTCCGTGACGGCTCGGGCGCTGGTTTCGGACACCGAGAGGCTCGTTCAGCCTGGGACGCTCGGCGGAGCTCTGATCGCCAGATCGTGCCATATTGGCCGGCTCTGGGACCCTGGCCGCGTTCAATCTTGAACGCCCGCGGCGGATTTTGACAGAAGAATGAAAAATAGTCGACACGAGTCAAATACGAATCCAACATACTTATAAGAAATCATTCATGGATTATTGTTTTGACTCCTTTTGAATGTTCCGTCTGTAGAGGGACATGCCCGACTTACACCTATCGTGCTCAACCTCTCCCTCCCAGCGTTTCCTCCTGCTTCCCGCGCCCACCACAACCCTGACCCTCCTCTCCCTCCACCTCCTCCTCCTCCTCCTCCTCCTCCTCCTCCTCCTCCCGATTGCTCAGCCTCACCGCCTGCGCTCAGCCTCTCATCGCGAGACGTCGACGACGGCTGGCCCCTGACGATTCAACAGCCTCTTGACGTCCACCGACTTGGCGCTGCCGCGCAGGCGCGTGATGCCCTTGACGAACTCTTCCGGGGAGATCGTCTCGTCGCCGTTCGCGTCGAGCATGTTGAAGAGCAGGTCCGTGTCCTCGAGGTCGTAGTCCATCGCCGCGAGCCACGTCCTCACGTCGTCGTGCTGCAGAACGCGCTGGAACTCCTTCCGGTCCAGCACCCCGTTTCCGTTCTCGTCGGCGGCTGCAAAGAGCTTCCGCATCTTCCTGACGTGCGTGGCGGTTGCGCGCTCCTTCTGACGTATGATGAGCAGGTCGTCGTCGTGGGCACACTTGAACGTCTCCTGGATGAACACGCCGTTAATCCGCCACCGTGGCCCCTGGCACGTAGAGGCGTGGTAGGATGTCAAGCGCTGTCTGGTAGGATGTCAAGCGCTGTCTGGTAGGATGTCAAGCGCTGTCTAGTAGAATGTCAAGCGATGTCTGGTAGATCCCCCCACTCATCACAAAGCTCCGCATGCCCCCCCCCCTTGCCGAAGCGTCCTGGGCGGCCCGGTACCTTCCCGCCGCTCTCCAAAGCTCTCCGAGGCTGCGAAGACTCCCCGGGCATGCCGCCAAGGCCGCGTAGATTGCCCAAGATCGCCTGGAGCAGACCCAAGAGCTCCTGACACCTACTCCAAATGTCGTAATAAAAGGGAGGGGGTCTGGACCCTCCAAGACAAGCCATTTCAGACCTCCCCCGTGGGAGAACCCTCCAAAACATCGTCCCCAGACCCCCCCAGGCCCTCCAAGATAGCCTGGAAGAGACCCCCCCCGAAATGAGACCCCCCTCCTTTTATTACGAAATCCGGATTAAAGGGTCTGAAGAGCCCCAAGACACCCCCAAAACGCTTTCCAGAAGGCCCATAAGGAGCCAAATATACTGATATCCATTTGGTTGTTCAAATTGTTCCCATCTGTTTTCGCTTTCCACGCCCATCGGTCCCAAATAGCCCCACTTACGGCCTTCGGCAGCCCCAAGGGCCCTCTGAGAGCCCCACGAGGTTCCCCGGACGGCCCAAGACGGCCCCAAAGGAGCCCCAAGCTGGCCCACGAGGACCTCCGGAGGGACGCAAGCTTGCCCAAGACAGTCCCAAGACGGCCCCACGACAGCCCGAAGACATCTCCCAGACGGCTAAAAAAACTTCCCAAAGACGACACAAAAGGGCTCCAATATGGCCCAGAAGGACCCCAAGGGAGCCGCAATACTGCCCTGCAGGGGCCCTAGACAGCCCCAAGATGGCCCTAAGAAGCACAATGACAGCTCTTGAAGAAGTGGAGACGAGAAGTGCCACATGCGACGGCCTTGCGTGCGGCACTCAAAAGGTGGGCACACAACTTACTTCGCTGGCACGGCGGCGGATGTGCCGCAGACGCCCAGATAACGCCCACAACCGCGAAACCCACGGTCAGCTTGTGGACCAGGCAAGGCAGGACGAACCACTCGCTCACGTTCTCAACGAGCAGCCGGCAGACTGGGGGCCAGTTTGCCAGTGTCATCTCGAAAGTGGAGAGAATCGCCCTGGAGAATGTTCCGAAGTACGCAAACACTTCCCTCCGTTCCTCCTCGTCGTAACGGTCATCGTAGAAGTAGACGACGCTGAGGGTCTCGTTCAAGACGAACGCCACGATGACCTGAGCGAGGAACAATATGATGCAAGACCAACCCAATGCCGAAACGCTTCCTGCCAGAGCAGTGCAGATCAGATACAGGGAGTCGAGGATCTTACTCATCCTCACCAGACGAATGAAGCGTGCAAGCCGGAGCAGGCGGACGAGCCGAAACAAAGAGACGTCCAAGTGAGCCACAACCTCGTTGAATGACAGGGTGGTCTCCACGATCCACAGCATCGTAACCGCAGCGTCGAAACATCCCCAGACGTTCCCCAAAGTGGCCACGATACCGATCCCGAGAAGCTTGAGAGCCAGCTCCAGGCAGAAAGCCATGCCCATCGCCCAGTTCAGCGCATCGAACACGCGGACGGCCCAGGGCCAGGATCGCGCCGCTGGCTGGCCATACGCCCCATAACCGAGCTGGAACCCGAGCTCCAGCCCCGCGTACTGCGACTCCAGCGCCATGCAGAACGCCAGCAGGATCACAACGGCCGCGCCTGCCGCCTCGAACGCTGTGCTGGACACGAACCTGGCGAGGGGCGACCTTGGATGCACCCCCGTTTTCTGTTTTGCCAAGTTTCCTCGGAGGAGTCGCAAGTAAGAACTGAGAGACATGCGTGACACGACGACAGCGCTGCACCTGGATGATCCTCTTGCCAGCCGCTGTGCTGGCTGAGCCTGAAGCCAAGCTGTGAATGGATCTTCGCTGTCGGGCCTGTCTTAGGCTGGCCCTGTATCGATCCTCCCATTCTTTGCATACACCCCCAAGTTCAGCCCGCCACCGCGCTTGCAGCGACTGCGGGCCTTGGTTGCTGCCGCTGCTCGCCAATCTCGACGCGTGCAGAATCATATTGCTACCCCCGTCGATGCACCGAGTCCACCATGCGATCACTTTTTGGACCTGCGCTGTGTGGCCATCCACGGGGAGAAGTGAGCCCACACATTAAACTTGCAAGTCGAAGGTTCCATGCCTCCCCCCGTACCCTCCGCCGCACCCCTCAATGCACCCTTCCCTGGGCGCTCCCTGAGCCCGCAACTTTCACATCCAGGATGACCCACGGGCCTGATCCACATCCCAACATCCAAGGCTGGCCGCCCCCCCCGATCCGTTCCAGAGCGCGGAGCACCCGAGCAGTTCCAGAGATCCGGAGCCCGACCCCGATGGATCAGGGTGCGCTAGGAGGTGGGGGCTCTCCCTTGTCGCGCTTGAGGAACACCAGACTGGACAAGTCGGACACCGTCTGCACCATCCTGTGTGATAAACACACGAACTACCCGTAATCCATTGGGAGAGGGCCCTAGCTGTGAGGGCCGAAAACATCAGGGATAGGGGGTCCCTCTGCGGATGTATCAGACCAAACCGCCCAGAATTAGAATCCCTGATGCGGAGACGGGGACCTAAGTGAGGCCACGTCTTCATCGTGTCATTTGGGTTAGAGGTTCTGTTGTGCTCGCTGACCTGTGAGCTGGGCTGGTGGCACTGAGGCCCGCTGGGCTTGGCGGCACTGCGGCCCGCTGCGAAGCCGCGCACGAGCCCGGGGTGGACACGAAGGTCACGCTGCGACCACCCTGGCGCAGGGGAGGGGAGCGTCCTTCTTCTCCCTCCTCCTCCTCCTCCTCCTCCTCCTCCTCCTCCTCCTCCTCCTCCTCCGCCCTCGCCCCTCGCCGCTCCTGACCCCCTCGTCCCCCTCCTCCCTCCGCCTCCTCCCCCCTCCCACTCCCCCCTCTCGCCCCCCCCCCCCCCCCCCCTCCTCCCTCCTCCTCCTCCCCCCCTCATCGACTCCCTACCCAGTTATCCTCCCTCCCCCTCCCTCCTCCTCGAGCAGATGCTCCCGCTCCTCCCGCAGAACCCGCGCGCCACAGGCTGGCTGCAATCGGGGCAACCGATCGCATTCGAGACACCACCCCGACATGCAGAATGCTACAGGGATGCGGGCCAATCTTCACCCCTCCTTCTCGTCAGCCTTCCCCCCTCCAATAGGGGAACAAAAACTGCCGTGATCATAAACTTTCGGCGCTCCGCGCGGACGTCTTGGATCTGCGCTGGACCCCCCTCCCTGGCGCACGGAGCGCGCCAGGGGCGGCGCCGGAGGTGCCGCCGTGGGGGGCCCAGCGCGGATCCAGGAAATCCGCGCGGACCGCCAAAAGTTTATGTATATGGCGCGTTTGGTCTTCGAGAGGAGCAGGACGACGACGAGGACGAGGAGGAAGAAGACGAGGACGAGGACGAGGACGAGGCCGAGGACGAGGACGAGGGGGACGACGACGACGACGACGAGGACGACGACGACGAGGACGACGACGAGGACGACGACGAGGACGAGGAGGAAGACCACGGCGAGGACGAGGTCGGGGTGCACGAAATGAGGGATCCATGGGACGGGCACTCGGCGAATCGGGCGGGCGCCTTGCCGCGGGCGAGGCCCCCAGCCAAGTCGGGCAGCGGCGCCTCCGGCCTCTGGCCGTGCGGCGCCTCGGGCCACCGCGCCTCCTGGGGGCCCGCGCCCGCCGCTCCCGTCCGCTCCCGTGAGCACACCCCCATCCCTCCCTCCGCCGGTCTCTGGCCCCGCCCACGCCTTCCCCCCACCTCCTCCTCCTCCTCCTCCTCCTCCTCCTCCTCCTCCTCCTCCTCCTCCTCCTCCTCCTCCCCCTCCTCCTGCTCCTCCTCCTCCTCCTCCTCCTCCTCCTCCTCCTCCTCCTCCCCCTCCTCCTCCTCCTCCTCCTCCTCCTCCTCCTCCACCTCCCCCGCCCTGCCCCCCCCCCTGCCAGCAGCTCCGACAATGGCCATGTGGCCATGATGGGTCCCGAGAGCAAATCTGGCCCCCATGCCTCCCCGAGCCCGCTCCGTGTTTGGGGACCGACTGGCCCGGGTCAATCCAAAACCCGGGTAAGCCGGGCATCCTGCGGGATCCTGCAAGATCCTGCAGGACCCTGCAAGACGTGGCGCTCTGGCTGGCCCCCGTTTGCATGGGCCCCGTCCCTTCCTTGAGCCCCGATCCGTGCTGAAGAGCTGGCCTGGGAGGCAGTCCCCGCTTCTCGGTCGCCCTGTCCCGTATCCCCCCGCGGAGGCACAGATGACGGCGTGGAGCAGCTAAGGGGGGCCAGCAGCAGCGAGACAACGGCGGACTAGGGCTGCTTGGACCAGCTCGTCCTGCTGTCGCCGTCGAGGGTGCCCACGGGAAGCGCCGAGGACGAGGCCATGCTCGAGAGGACTGGGGGGCACATGAACCGCTATGGAGCGGGCCTTGCCGAGGGAGCGGCACGCAGCCCTCTTCTGCTCTTCTCGTGCCTGCTCGTCCGACCTTCGTCCTCCTGATTTCATTGCTGGCATGGGAGGCGGGCCGCCCACGGAGTGAACCCTGCAAGAACAACGATCCCTTCTGGGGCGCGAGGGGGTACGGACTTGCAGGTCAACGACGTATCGATATGATTTGTGCTCTGCGAACGCGTTTACCTGACACGCTCAGGGAGAGATAGCACGTGTCTGGCACTGGCCAGTCACAATCGCTTGAGCTTGCATCTGGGTGTTCCACAAAACCTGTTTCTGGCCTCCAGGACAGGCGCGCGCCCTCCGACCAGTGACCTCTTCGTGGTGCACGGGATGTTCTGGATTAGTGCTGTTGAAGGCGGAAAATATGGCTTTAAGCTTCGGGTTCCGCGGGACAGCAGATTCTCGGATCAATCGTTCGTGTCGCACGGGGCCCGCATTGTCGAGGAGTGGGCAGGCATGGACTTGTTCTGGATTAGTGTTGGTGAAAGCGGAAGATATGGCTTTAAGCTTCGGGTTCCGCGGGACAGCAGATTCTCGGATCAATCGTTCGTGTCGCACGGGCCCCGCATTGTCGAGGAGTGGGCAGGCGTGGACTCGGTTGGCGCCTCTGAGGCTGAGGAGCGCTGGCCTGCTCCGCCGAAGGGCGTCCGTGCGCAATACTTGCGGGTACAGGGGAGGGTGAAAACACTGCCTTGTCTCAAGACAGAGGCCTTGGATTGCTGACCACTGGTCACACGGACACTGCAATGGAGTGGACCCATTCTTGAAGGTGAAACCGATGATCCCTGCCAGACTTACGTGACACAGTCGCAGAAAGTGGGGAACAATCCGTCGCAACACTGATCTTGGACGCAAAGTATCGCGTCTTGTCACAACTCAACAACACTCATGTGACTTAGTGCTGCCGTGGTTATTTGACGCCGGAACGCAAGTAGACGGCAACGTGCTTAGGGCACTGATGTTCTGCTGGCAGAGCACTGCTTCATGCCATCTCGTCTATGGACTCGCATGCTTATCTTGTGCACAGGAATGGCTGCATCTTGTCACCGCGTGTACATAAACACGATCGGGACAAGACTTCCCTGGGAGCTGGAGTCATGCGCTTGAAAACAAGCGACACATACGGGTGTGCAGTTGATGGAATTGGGTTCACCAGTGCGCACGCGCGTGTCCTCATTGCTGTGGAAGAAAACATGGGATATAGAGGCGTCGCGGTAAAACTTTGTCGCCATGGCGGTTCACATTGGTCCCAAGATGCTCTCTTCACCGACGTGGCGCAGGACGTAGCTGATGCTGCATTGGCCGATTACAGTTGCTGCGTTTTCGTTGCTTCCAAGCTGCAGATGTGGAAAGCTATGCAGGCAAAGCCTTCGGTGCTCAAAGAATTGCTCGAGCGTCTTCGGTTGCACATCAATTTCAAGCGGAACCAAGCCCAATGCCTTTGGCAAAATCCGTGCTAATCCCGAGAGTGTGCGAATGATTCCCATTACAGTTAACACATTGCGCACGGCTGCTGGGGACGCCGTGCGCCGGGCAAACAGTCAGCGACGTAGATGTGGACGCCGCCTCGGAGTGCACATCCGGACAAACGTAGAGGGTCCAACATCCCTTGAGTCAGGCACCGCTCAAACGATACGCCCGCCTCATGTACACCTCGTGCAGCGCAAGTCTTTGACTAAAAACGACTTGCTGCTGTCCCGTCGTTCAGCTTTGCACCGCAGCCCAATACAATCAAAATGGTGGCTTTGTGCTTTCCCTGGGTGTTGAAGGCACGGGAATTACGTTTTGGAGGCCGCCCGATGCGCTTTGTGCGCTGGATGTGCCAACGCGCAAGACTTGACGGCACGACTGGCTTTAGTATCGAACTAAGTTTGCATTCTTTTTCGGTCGCACCATCTTGCAACAAAGACTGTCGTACTTGGCTTGCTACCTCGTTCGTTTCCTCGCTCGCCTCCCCAAGCCCGACGCAATGCTGGTGACGAGTGGCGGCGCCATCCGCACAGACCCCTGTCACAGCGGCGTTCTCTCTGGCAGAACCGCCCTGCTCCAAGCCCAGACGTTCTGCTCACTGGGCACCCTCAAGCAGATGCATGCGTCGACGAGGCAGTGTGACGAGGCGAGCCCCACCAGCGTGCAGGGATGCTTCTGAGCAGCTCCTGCCGCTCGTCATGAGTGCCTGCTTTCATTCGCTGAGCCCAGCACCTGACTGCACATGGTACGCCGGTCTGATGCGTATTGCTCCTTCCCTTCTTTCTTGCCCTCCTCTCCTCGGGCCGCCTGGGCCCTGGCTTGCCTCCCAGGTGTCGGGCACGTCCCTCTACAGGAAGAATATTCAAACATAGCTCTCTTGAAAACAAATAGTCAGGGGACGTGCTTTAAATACTATGTTTGACAATTTCTGCATATGTTAGACTATTTTTGAGATGTCTTCCAAAATCCGCCTGTAGGAGGACATGCCCAACCTAACGCCGCGAACAACGAAAGCTCAGGTCCGACAGCATGTCGCTGCAGCCATCACTGCCGCAAATGCGCCTCCAGGTCGCAGGCTCCTGCGAGGCGACCCGTCCGGCTGCGCGCGGCTGCATACGATGGATCGAAAGGCTTCAGGCTTTCGCCAGTTGGCCAAGGGGGGCATCCTTGGTTGTAGGCGTGGGAATGTGCACCAACACCAACACAGGGACTCGCCTCCACCGGGGGAAAATGATCCTAGATTTGATGGTGGTGGCAATCTTTCGGCCACCCCGGAAGCCCAAAAATATTACCACCATCGCCGATCTTGGGATCTTCTTCCCTTTCGGTGGAACCGACAGGGGGTCCGGCTGAAAGAGGGTGGTGCAATAGATTGGGGGCAATTGCACTGCAAATGCATTGCGCTGTTAGAAATCGCCAACAATGCGCCACACGCGGAAATCCAGCAATACCTTTGTGCACTGGAAGGTACTGCACGCCCCAAAGCTATTGCAGCCCCGCAGAGCTATTGCACCCCAGAAACCTGTGGCACCAGATCTGTTGCACCACCCTCGTTTCTCCCTCCTCCCCCCTCCTCCTTGTCGTGCATTGCGCGTCGCCCCATTGTCTGGTCAGCTTGCGCTCTACTTTTGAATGTGTGTGAGTTGCCCTGGGATGCCTCTCACTCGGTGCAGGCCCCGGGGTTCTCTCACCAGAGTTTTCCAGAGGTGAGCACGTCTTTGCGACACTGCCATCGTCCGCCGCCACCGCCTCCTCAACGTCCTCCTCCTGTTTCATGCTTCCTGGTGACACGAGACTGCTCTGCGCGTTGCCGCTTCCCCCGGGGCTGGCCGGGTGGCCAGCCCTGGGGGAGTAGAATCAGAAAACTAGGCGATCGGGCAACAGTAGACAGACAGGGAGGAGGAGGGAGGAAAGGAAAACGTCCTCCTCCTCCTCCTCCGCCTCCTCCTCCTCATGCTCTTCATCTCCGCCACACCCCGTACTCCCGATTGGGGGTTGGCGGTGCATCGGCGACGTCGGCGTGGAAAAATCGGGCTCCACATCGAGCCGCACCGCCGATGCATCGGCGATGCGGCGCGATCCTCCGACCCCATCTGCTCGGACCCCATCTGGGAGACCTAGACTGAAGTCGGGCATGTCTCTCTACAAGAAGAGTGCTCAAACATAGTAAAAAAGAGTCCGGGGACGATGTTTTTTTTACTGTTTTGGATATTTTATATGTTATTTTGCATTATTCGTCCAAAGTGCTCCTGTAGGCAGACATGCCCCACCTTAGCCTGGACGATCGTCGGAGATCCGGGCCCTCGCGCGGCGCGCGCGACGCCAGCCGTCCTCCACGCCGCCCGCCTGCAGGGCTCCCGGGAGCGGCGGCCAGCCGAGGGCGCCCTCGGAGGGCGGCGCCGCGCCGGCCGCCTGCGGGGGGGCCGCCGGCGGCCCGGGAAGGGCGCGCCGAAGCCGCACTTCGACGCGCATCCGGCACGGAGTCGGCGCGGATCCGACGAGCCCGGCATGGATTCGACACGGATTCGACGCGGATCCGACGAGCCCGACATGGATTCGACACGGGTTCGACACGGATCCGACGAGCCCGACATGGATTCGACACGGACTCGACGCGGATGGGGCCGCGACGGGACAGGCAGGGTCTCCCGAGGGCGCAACAGAACCAGCGCTGAGTATACGTGGATGGGCGGTTTCCCCGGGAGGGGCGCGCTGAAGCCGCACTTCGGCGGCGCGTCAAGGGGCATTTGTAAAATGGGGCACCAGGATGAACTATCCGACTACCCCTGCCCAAGGCCGGCTCTGACAGGCTGATTGGCCGACTGGCCGACTGCGGAGTCGTTTTGTTTTTCCTGGTGCCTCAAATTTTTCCTTTTCGCCCGGGGGGAACTGAGAAAGGGGGCGGGCCTTTTCAGAAGTCTCGGAAGTCCCCCGGACTTCTGAGAGAAGTTTTCTGAGCCTTCCCCGACGACGCAACAAACTCTTCTCAGAAGGCGCCCGGGCTTCTGAGGAGCCCCGCCGCCTTCTGAGGGGCCTTTTCCTGCTCACGTCCACCCCTCGCTCGCCGCCGAGCACTTCTGGCAGCGAGCGCCCGATTGCCACAACGAGACACACACACACGCACACGCACACACGCACACACGCACACACAAACACAAACACAAACACAAACACAAACACAAACACAAACACAAACACACACACACACACACACACACACACACACACACACGCACGCACACACACACACACAAACACACACACACACAAACACACAACACACACACACACGCACACGCACACGCACACGCACACACACAACACACACGCAAATGTAGGACATAACATTGCTAATTAAGCCGCGATGCGCGTGTGGAAGAGGGGGAGGGCCCGGCGCGGGTGGGAGGGAGACGGAAGCCGGGCCCGCCCAGAGCAGGGCCAGGCCGCGGTGGGGCAGCGCCCGGGCGGCGGGGCGGCAGCCGCAGGGCAGCCAGGGGCGGGCAGCAGCCAGGGGCGGCCGCGCGAGGCGGGGGGGATCCGGCCAGGACAGTGCTGGCGTTGGGCAGCACAGCAGGGCGGCCGTGCGCCGAAAGACGACCTTCCAAGCGACGGAGCAGCCGGAGAAGACCACCTCAGGAGAGGGGCTTGGGGGTTGCTGGGACACACACACACAGACAGATGCACTTTTTCTGGCGTCGCGGTCACGCGCGCAGCGGCGCGGCGGAGCACGGGTCGGGCGGAGCGACACACGCGTCAGGCTGGATCGGCCCGTAGGGGATGGGCCCGCCAATAGGGGGGTCAACAGCATCACTCGCGAGGGGGCGGTCGCACACACACACACACACACACACACACACGCACGCACGCACGCACGCACGCACGCACACACACGCACACACACACACGCACACACGCGCACACACACACAACACACAACACACAACACACAACACACAACACACAACACACAACACACAACACACAACACACAACACACACACACGCACACACACACAAACACGCACACGCACACGCACACGCACACACACAACACACACGCAAATGTAGGACATAACGTTGCTAATTAAGCCGCGATGCGCGTGTGGAAGAGGGGGAGGGCCCGGCGCGGGTGGGAGGGAGACGGAAGCCGGGCCCGCTCAGAGCAGGGCCAGGCCGCGGTGGGGCAGCGCCCGGGCGGCGGGGCGGCAGCCGCAGGGCAGCCAGGGGCGGGCAGCAGCCAGGGGCGGCCGCGCGAGGCGGGGGGGATCCGGCCAGGACAGTGCTGGCGTTGGGCAGCACAGCAGGGCGGCCGTGCGCCGAAAGACGACCTTCCAAGCGACGGAGCAGCCGGAGAAGACCACCTCAGGAGAGGGGCTTGGGGGTTGCTGGGACACACACACACACAGACAGATGCACTTTTTCTGGCGTCGCGGTCACGCGCGCAGCGGCGCGGCGGAGCACGGGTCGGGCGGAGCGACACACGCGTCAGGCTGGATCGGCCCGTAGGGGATGGGCCCGCCAATAGGGGGGTCAACAGCATCACTCGCGAGGGGGCGGTCGCACACACACACACACACACACACACACACGCACGCACACGCACACGCACACGCACACACACACACACAAACGTACAAACAGAGACACACACACACACACTTTTGGTGGTAGCGGCCTCGCGCAGTGGCAGACACATACACACATACACACATACACACGCTCACTTGTGGCGGTAGCGGCCTAGCGCAGCGACAAGGCGTCGCGCACAGACACACAGACAAACAGACACACACACATACGCACAAACACACGCAAACACAGATCCATCCATCCATCCATCCATCCATGCGTGTTGCTGGCGCAATGGAATTGCAACGTTTTGCGGCTGTCCGTAAACCTTCCGTCCAACGGAACAACACTCTTGTCGCAACGGTAGCAGCACGACTGCATCAACGACACGGGTGCTCCCACTGAATCTGCATCCGTCCAACGGAACAAAGCTATCGCCGCACCGCTGGCCGCAGTCCTGCATCAACGGGAGTGGTGTTCCTGCCGCAGCGTGCGCCACGTGCCAGAATCTCTATCGGGCTTCAGTCGGTTCGTGCAACCCTAGGTGTGGATCTGGCGTGCCATTCCGTTTGCTACCACTGGTGAGCGGCAGCGCTTCGAAGAACGTGTTAACCGTGGAATAGAATTGTATGTTTGTTCGACCCCCACGGCGTCGCCATTTGAAGAGTAAAACGGAATACTCGTTCTTCGACCCCCCCAGGCGCTGCCACATGGCGCGTGGAGTGGACTGGTATGCGTTTGGTGTGTGCGCCCACCCCGCCGGCGGTGTCAGGTGACGAGTCGAGTGGAATAGTGTTCTTTAGGACGAGAAGAATCTATTGACACAGCGTGCTATTGATACGTTCCGGGGATTCCGGGATTTCTAACAACTTTCGCGCGGGGTACACTTTGCGTCGACTATTGTCTACTTTGGCTGGCGCCGCTGGTCCGTCACCCATTCGCAATCGAGTGGTCGCCCGTAGGGGGCTATTTGGCACTTGCTGATCCCCCTTCTCGTTGCCAAGCGCGGGGGGACGGCGGCGCACCGTCCCATCGCCCGCCGCCGCATGCCGCGCGCCTCGGCGGATTTCCAAAGACCTGGTGTGGCAAATCGAGCGCGACTCTGGAAAATTCTCCGGGGGTAAATTTGAAAAACTCTGGGAATGTTGTTGAATATGTCTGGCCTATTTTTTGAAAAATAGCAGAATCGATGATGACAAATTATGGAATCCATGTTGAAAATTCTGGATTTCAGAATTATTCAGATGTCCTGCGCGGCGGGCGCATTCCACCCCTCAAAACTGTTTTTGGGAAAATGTCTGGGCTCCTTAAAAAAAACTCCGGAACCGCTTGCGCCGGAAAAACGGAAACGTTTTCTGAAACATTCGACAATCCAGAAATAATTTCCGGGCGGTCCGGCGGGCGCGGCCGGCTGATTCACGCAACGCGCCGCGCGCGATTGGGCGCAGTGCGCGCCGCGCGTTGCGCCCGCGAACAGCACTCGAAGGGGTCACCTTGAAAACAGCGCCACGGCAGCTGCGATTCGCGGACTCCCCAAGAGCAACACAGCATACAACTTGGCATCTCCGAGGGCGCTCCGGGGCGCGAAAAATGCACCGCGCACATCGCGCAAAGAACCTGCGCGACGGAATGCGCTCGACCGTTCGTCCCTGCAACCCGCGCGGAACAACAGGAAAAACTGGAAATATTGAAAACTATCAATATCAATACCTCATGCTCCTCTGATTCTTGCTTGACCACCATGAGTTGCCGCGTTGCGTGGCGAATAAACTGGAATAGCATTCGTTCTGCCCCGAAGACCATCTGACGTATAGGATTCCCCGTTGAGTCTGCAATACACGTTGCATTCCGTTGGATTGCATTGGCATTGTATGGGGTTTGTATTGCATGCCGTTGCTGTGTATTGTGTTGACGAACTTTTGTTTACGGACATGCCGAACATGAGTTGACCATCAACAAATGACAACATTACCTGCCAATGACCCGATCACCTTACAACCCAGCCTACCTACCAACCAACGAACCAGCCTACCAACCATCCAGCCAACTAGCCAACCAACCAACGAACCAACCAACCAGCCAGTCCTTCCCGTGAAATTTCCGAGGATGTCCCACACCGCGGGGCTTGATTCGGTTTTCTACCCATCAGCCAGCCAGCCAACCAGCCAGCCAACCACTTCATCCATGCGCATATATATATATATCTATATATGTATACACATATACACCAACATATAAACATGCATAAATGTATGTAGATACACGTATTTATAGATACATGAATATATATATATATATATATAAATGTATATATATATATATATATATATATATATATATATAGACTTTCTACCCATCAGCCAGCCAGCCAACCAGCCAGCCAACCACTTCATCCATGCGCATATATATATATATCTATATATGTATACACATATACACCAACATATAAACATGCATAAATGTATGTAGATACACGTATTTATAGATACATGAATATATATATATATATATATAAATGTATATATATATATATATATATATATATATATATAGACATACATGGACCCAGCAGTCAGCCAGCCAACCAACCGGCCAGCCAGGCCACGCTTTGGAGGGTTTTCTGTGGATGTCTCACACGGCGGGACCTGGAGGAATACATGCTCTGCCCCCCCAAAAGTGCACTCCGAAAGAGCAATCTGCCTCAACCCTCCTCCCAGCGGCGAGGCGCAGCTGCCGGAACGCCTCCCGAGGCAGGAAGGCATCCAGGAGCGAGCGAGAGCGTCCGAACACCTGGCGAACGCCCCCTGAGACACCACCACCCCCCGAGCGTGGAGGCGGCCAGGGGTCTGAACTGGATCTGCCCCGAGGAAGTTTGTCAAGAGAAGGGGATCGGGTCAAATGAGCATCGTTTATCTGATCCCTATCCCCGCGGCGTGGCCTGGGCCCCACTGGAAGATTTAACCCCCCTAGATGGGAATATAGGCCGTCCCCTTCGGGTTTCGAGGGGTGTATCCCCAACTGGGGGGGTAATTTGGTGGGGGTCTCGATGGGGACGGGGATGGGGATGGGGAACGGTTCAACGATACTGATCAAATCCGCTCATAATCGATCTTCGGACCCCTCCCATGGTTCTGAAGGGGCCCTGGGACACACAATTAAATAGACACAAGTACCAGGACTCCCCGTATTGTACTTATGTTCTGGGTTTTCGTCTTCCCCCTTGCTTCCCATATTTTCACATGTTTTCCTGGGAGCAGACGATGAATTGTGTCTGTGTGTATCGCCCCCTCCTGAGGTTCGCTCGTCTGCAGCTCTTCGTTCCAGACCCGTTCCTGACCGTCCCTGGGGCCAGAAAGCGGGCCCCGGAGACCGAGACAGGCGAAACACCTTCCTGAACCCAGCACCTCGAACCTCGCCCACCCTTCTGCTCGCTGGAACTGAAGGGGCCCAGGGGCACACAAACAAATACACACAAATAGCAGGAGTCCCCATATCTTCCCATATCTTCTGGGTTTTCGTCTTCCCCCCACTTCACACAGTGTCCAATATTTTCTTGTATATCGACGTTTTATTGTGTCTGCGTGGTTTTATCCCTCCTGAGGAACAGAAGCCTCCCAGAAGGGGTTCGAGAAAATGGGGTCGGAGGATCGCGCCGCATCGGCGATGCATCGGCGATGCATCGGCGATGCATGGGCGATGCATCGGCGATGCTGGAACCAGTGCTGGGCCACCTCAGACCCCCAGCCAGCTCCAGCCCCTACCCTCAGGTCGGGCATGCCCTCCTACAGGCGGACTCTGGAAGTCGAGTGACACACTGCCAGCAGAAAGGCAACGATCGTCAAAAAAGAACACAAAAAAACAAATCGCCCCCCCACTGCTTCTGGACTGCTCTGGAACGTTCCTTCTGCAGAAGGGGCACGCCCGACTTGCCCCTGACGTTGCCCCTGCGGTGACGGCAGGCGGCGGCGGAGGAGGAGGAGGAGGAGGAGGAAGAGGAGGAGGAGGAGAGGGGGGGAGGTGGGGAAGGGGGGGGAGGAGGGAGGAGGAGGAGGAGGAGGAGGAGGGGAGGGAGGAGGAGGAGAGGAGGAGGAGGAAGGAGGAGAGGAGGAGGAGGGAGGAGGAGGAGGAGGAGGGAAGGAGGGGAGGGGGAGGAGGGAGGAGGAGGAGGAGGAGGAGAAAGGGGATGGGGGGATTAGGAGGAGGAGGAGGGAGGAGGAGGAGGAGGAGAGGGGAGGAGGAGGAGGAGGGAGGAAGGGGGGGAAAGAGAGGGGGAAGGGGGGGAGGGAGGAGAGGTGACTGACGTTGCCCCTGCGGTGACGGCAGGCGGCGGCGGGGGCCCCGCCGGCGGCGCCGGCGCGCAGGGCGGCGCGGTGGCGCGGAGGGCGCCCGGGCTGGTGCGGCTGCGGCCGGGGCTCGGGCGGCGGCGCCCCGCCTGGCGGGGCGCACAGAGGCATACTCTGGCGGCGAGCGCGGGGGGGGGAGCGAGAAAGGGAGGGTCTTCTTTGGCGGCGAGCCTGGTGGGGCGCACAAGGGCATACTTTGGCGGCGAGCGCGGGGGGGAAGTGAGAAAGAGAGGGCCGTCTCAGAAGGCTCGGAAGTCCCCTGGCCTTCCGAGAGGTTTCCCGACTCTTCCCCGGAGACAGAAGCAACTTCTCAGAAGGCGCGAGGGCTTCTCCTCGCCATCGCTCGGACGTCCATTTCCCGTGCATTTTTCGGTTTCGTGCGGGTTGTTTTTGTTGCTCGATGGTCCAGGATGGTCCTGGATGGTCCTCGCCGAACAAAATGCACACGTCCGAGCGATGCCAGGTCTCAGAAGGCTCGGAAGTCCCCTGGCCTTCCGAGAAGTTTCCCGAATCTTCCCCGAAGGCAGAAGCAACTTCTCAGAAGGCGCGAGGGCTTCTCCTCGCCATCGCTCGGACGTCCATTTCCCGTGCATTTTTCGGTCTCGTGCGTTGTTTTTTTTTGCGCGATGGTCCAGGATGGTCCTGGATGGTCCTCGCCGAACAAAATGCACACGTCCGAGCGATGCCAGGTCTCAGGAGGCTCGGAGGTCCCCTGGCCTTCCGAGAAGATCCCCGAATCTTCCCCGAAGGCAGAAGCAACTTCTCAGAAGGCGCGAGGGCTTCTGAGAGGTCCCGCCGCCTTCTGAGAAGGCCTTTCCTTCTCATTTTCCTCCCTCTCTCGCCGCCGAATGCTAGTACGATGTGTTGTCCTTGGAGGCGCGCGTCGGACCCGAACAGATACCCAGGCATGATCGCGTCGTTAAACAACCAGGACGGCGGGTTTTCAGCCGTTTTCGGCCTCGGGAAACCCTGGACAAGGCTCGGGACCGTCAGAGAAAGGGTCAGGATGAAAACAAGTGCTGGGGAATGGGTCGGGACTTCCAGGGACCCCGCATCGAAAACATCAGAATCAGGACGCCGCACGTCTGGGTAATATCGATTCCCGAGCGGTGTGGCCAGAAAGCGCCCGCCACGACGCATGTACAATAAGATTCCTCGGTGCGCGCGTCGCCCCCCGGGGGGGCGACGCACACATAGTAGCAACATGTGGGGGTGACGCCCGCCTGGGGAAAGATGCTCCGCCATCCGAGCGCTGCAGGCTCGCGAGGGGGGGGGGGGGAGTCATGGCGAGCATGGCGAGGTGGGGGCGGCCCTCCCTGGCGTTCCTGGTCCCCTCTCTGCGGGGAACCGCGGGTGCGTACACACCAAGGCATCTGGGCCATGTCCCGGAGGGCTTCGCAGAAACGCCGCAGGGCAACGCAGCTTGCAATTATCCGACCTGCTCTCCAGGCAACATTTGCTCGATCTCTCGTTATATGCATATGTGTATATATACATATGGATATACACACAGATATACACAGATATACACAAAGAACGGCAGTCTCAAAATGATCTCACATTACTGAGTTCATGAATTCATTCGTCAGGCGCCCTCGCCCTCGCCGTCGCCGTTCGTCGTCGCCGTCGTGCCGGTGGCTGCTGCGCTGCTCGCTGCCGGGACCTCGCGCCCCCTCGGGGGGCGCGGCAGAGGCCCGCCCCGATGTGGGTCGGGCGCGTCCTCCGACAGGCGGATCTGGGAAGGACAACTCAGAAGTAGAGGCTTAACACGTTCAGACATAATTTACAAACATCAGGCAATCGCCCCAGGATAATTATTTTTGGGCCATGTTTGAATACTCCTCCTGTCGAGGGACACGCCCGACTACAGCTTGGACCCATCTGCACAAGCAAAGATTACAGAAAGGTGAGCTCTTTGGAGCTCCGCGCGGATTTATTGCATCGACGCTGGACCCCTTCCCGGGCGCGCGGAGCGCGCCAAAGGCACCGAAGGTGCCGCCAAGGGGGGGGAGTCCAGCTCCGATCCGAGAAACCCGCGCGGAGCTCCGAGAGTCTATGTTTACGCAGAATGTCGTTCGTCGAGTTCCGGAATCCTTCCCACAGCCCGAATGCCTCGAGGACATCTCATGCTCTGCTTGTCGGGGGTATCTCTACGTGTCACCAGCAACGATGGTCCCCTTGGCCCATCCACACACGGGGATCCCATCCACACACGGGGATACGAGACACCCAACGCCTGAGTGTGACCCCCAGCCAGGAGGTGCGTGACGACATCGAATACCACCCCCATCGCGTAGAGGGCGCCATGACGTGGGTCAACAATTACGACAGGCCCCCCAACGCCGACAAGGAGGCCCAACGCTGAATGGTATCCGGCCGGCACGTGTCTGCTCTCCTTTTCCCTCGTCCCCTTGGCGTGTGCCCGCAGCCGCCAGGCGCGCCAGGGCGCCCCCGCGCTCGAACTGCTGCACCAAGGCGTCGTGCCTCGCCTCCTCGGGGAGCCCGCCACACTCACGGAGGGGCCCACCAGCCGGCGCGGACCGCCAGTGCTGGAGCGATGAGGGGACCCAGGTCGGGGGTTACGAAAGGTGCCCCTGGCCCAAGGTGCCCCCAATTTTGAGCTCGATCAAACCCCTGGGGCCCTCCGGGCCTTGGGCCTGTGGGGCCTCCTCCGGAATCCTGGGGGCACCCAGGTGCACTTCTAGCAGCACAGTCGCGACGAGAGTCAGGCGCGAGGCTGCTTTTGTTGCGGCGCTCGGTCTCCCAGGACCCTCGCTGGGCCCCGGGGACCGGCAGAGCACCGCGCGGGGGAAAGAGCCGGCCCTGTGGAAAGGGCCTGGACCTGTGGAAGCCGCGCGCGTTCCACCCGTAGAAAAAGGATGCACGGTGAGGATGCATCCTCCTCCTCCTCATCCGCCGCCTCCCTCTCCTCCTTCTCCTCCTTCTCCTCCTCCACCTCCTCCTCCTCCTCCTCTTCCTCCTCCCCCTTCGCCTCCCTCTCCTCCTCTTCCTCCTCGTCCTTCTCCTCGTCCTCCTCCGCCTCCCTCTCCTCCTCCTCCTCCTCCTCCTCCTCCTCCTCCTCCTCCTCCTCCTCCTCCTCCTCCTCCTCCTCCTCCTCCTCCTCCTCCTCCTCCTCCTCCTCCTCCGCCTCCTCCTCCTCCTCCTCTTCCCCCCTCTCCCTCTCCCCTTCTCTTCTCCTCCTCCTCCTCCTCCTCCTCCTCTCTTCCTCCTCCTCCGCCTCCCTCTCCTCCTCTTCTTCTCCTCCTCTCCTCCTCCTTCGCCTCCCTCTCCTCCTCCTCCCTCCTCCTCCTTCTCCTCCTCCTCACCCTAGTCCTCCTCCTCCTCCTCCTCCTCCTCCTCCTCCTCCTCTTCCTCCTCCTCCTCTCCCCTAGTCCCATCCTCCTCTCCTCCTCCTCCTGCTGCTCCTCCTCCTCCACCACCTCATCCGCCTCCTCCTCCTCCTCCTCCCCTCCTTCTCCTCCACCCCCTCCTCCTCCGTCCACCTCCTCCTCCTCCTCCTCCTCCTCCTCATCATCATCATCATCAGCCTGGAAGGCCCTTGGAAAGTCAAACCGTATAGCAAGGATGCTTGGTAAGGACGCACAGGGCCTTGGAAGGCACTAGAAGGCCATGCCAACACTTTGCGAGCGGGGCGAGGCCAGCCAAAGCGGCCAAGGATGTGCCGAAGGGGATGGATGCCTGGGCAACCTCGGAAAGGTTCTCACCCTTGCTATGCGGGAAGAATGTCTTGAAATCGTCTAGGCGTTGGATGTCTGGGAGCGGAGGCTCCGCGCCGATCGGGCGCTGCGATCGAGCGGCCGATCGGTGGACTGGCGGACCGATCGGCGGGCCGGGGCCTCCAAATCGGTTTCTCCTTCCTCCGTCCCGTGCGCTGCGCCACGCTGGAGGCCCCAGGTCCATCGGCTCTTCCTCCTCCTCTTCTCCTCCTCATCCTCCTTCTCACCACCTCCTCCTCCTCTCCTCCTCCTCCTCCTCCTCCTCCTCCTCCTCCTCCTCCTCCTCGTCCTCCTCCTCCTCCTCCTCACCTCCTCCTCCTCCTCTCCTCCTCCTCCTCCTCCTCCTCCTCCTCCTCCTCCTCCTCATCCTCCTCTGCTCTTCCTCTCTACCTCCTCCTCCTCTTCTCATCCTCCTCCCTTCCCTCCTCCTCCTCCTCCTCATCTTGCCGCTCCTCCTACTCCGCCTCATGCTCCTCCACTTGGTTGTCTTGTTCAACGCAATTGCACTTTCGATTGCGTCCGTCTCATCCGCCTTGGTTCTGTCGTGCCCACCCTTCCTCCCCCTCGTCCTTCCTCCCCACCCTCATGTATATTTAATTCCTATGCCTCCGTCCTCCTTCTCCTCATATTTCCTGCTGCTGAGGACCCGCATCAAGATGTGTGATCGCAGCGACGATCCTGCACACGCACGGAGGCTCGAGAGAGGCGGCGGAGGGCAGACTACCCCAACAAAAACCGCACAATGAAAGGCAGCCAGGCTAGCAAGACCCTTTCCAACTGCCCGTTGCACACATGTCGGCATCTGCTAACCAGGAATCCCCCAAACATTGGTTCGGCATCTCTGAGACGCGCATGTGTTACTTCCGCCGACTTTTGCTCAAAACTGTTGCGGCCTTCGGCCGGCGGGGACCGGCACGTGGATAGCGTGTCGCGCCGAGGAGCGGTGGGAGCGAGCCAGCGGCGCGTCACGCTGAGCCACAATTTCATCTAGGGGGCCGCTGCCCTCGCCGCGCGACGCGAGCATGTCTGGCCATCGGGTCTTAGCTTTGGCTTCCGGCGGCTGCTCGCGACGGTCCGTTCACCCCTATCGGGTCTTAACTTTGGCCCCAGCGAGGCGCAGCTGCTGGAGCGCATCCCAAGGCTGGAAGACCACCGAAATCCAACGAGCACGTCCGAGAGCTTTTGCCAGCCCGATGCGCCACCGTGCCGCTGGAAACGGAGAATGGGCGCGTCCTCAGGTCCTTTGCCTAATCCCGTGCGCCTCGGACCTCACTTCGGCTACACGCAAGAGTGACCCTGGGTAAGAGAAACCTTAGGTGCGCGGCTTTGGGGGGGCCGCGGGGGGTCAAACACAGGCGCGCAAGACGCCACTGCCGCCTCGAGTTTGGCGATCGGGGGACCCCGTTTGGCCCGCACCAAAAATCACACCGGCGGAAGGTCATTCTTACGTCTAGTCGACTCAATCCCGAGGATGGGTTTAGGGGCCAGGGTCCCAAGTTCACTGATCTCTCAGGGGTTGACGCATCGTCTCGCGTTGCTTCTTCGGGCCCGGGAGGGCCCTCAGACGGGCCAAGAGGGCCCGAAGAGATCTCGAGAAGCATCCCCAAGAACTCCGACCCACAACCCAGGCACGGTGGCGTGATGGGCAGAAGGCAACTAGATACACAACGCGCAACCTGTAGCGCGTTGACGAGGAGCTCAATACAAGACAAGACACAAGACAAGACAAGACAAGAGCCCGCGTCGAGGCACCTACGAAGGTGCGGCGGGAAGGCGCCGGGGCGCCGGAATGGGCTGGCCGCTCAGAAGCCAGGGTCGGGAAATAGCAGCCGGGTCGGAGAGATGGGAATGGGTGCCGGAGCCGCAGTCGGAGAAGAAGAACCACACGTACTGCCACAACCGAATACGTTTGACCAGAGTCGGGACCACCGTCGGAAAGATGCAAATAAGAATCGGGCCCGGAGTCGAAGGGATGGGATAAGACCTGGAGTCGAAGAATTGGGACCCGGAGTTGGAGCCGGAGTCGGAGAGAAGAGATGGGAGAGCTGGAATCGGAGAGATGGAAGCCGGAGTCGGAGCCAAAAGCGGAAGGATGAGATGGGGGAGACGGAGTCGGAAAGATGGGACCTGCATGTAGTCGGAGCCGGAGTCGGAGGGATGAGATGGGAGAACCAAAAACGGAAAGATGGGACCCGGAGTCGTAGCCGGAGTCGGAAAAATGGGATGGGGGAACTGGAGTCGGAAAGCTGGGAGCCGAAGTAAGAGCCAAAGTCGGAAGGATGAGATGGGAGAGCCGGAGTCGGAAAGAAGGGAGGCGGAGTCGGAACCGGGGACGGAAAGACAAAAAACTGCCGCCAGAGCCGGGGAATCGGGAGTCGTGTCAACGAACGGATCGGGAGTCGTGCCTCCGGAGTCGGGGAATCGGGAGTCGTGCCACGGTTAATGTCGGCGCACGAACCCATCTTCGAGAGTTCGCCACATATTCGTTGAAACTATACCAAATATTTGTGAAGGTGTGACGGATGATGGGGACGATGGCGATACAATGAAGCCCGATAAGCTTGTTGCCATAGCTGCGTAGTTGCATGCCGTGCACAAATATTGCCTCAAATCGTGTATCCATCTTTGTTTGGGCCGTCCTGTTCGGCGGGTTCTAATGTACCGGAGGTCCTGTTCCGGCGTCCACTGTAAAGCAAGTTTCGCCCATCCGGCGGCTTCCGTCGTTGCGAGGTGCCGCACCCACCTCCATTTCTGTCTTCGTGCTAACGTTGTCCAGTCGTCGATATTGATCCGCTTCAGGTTCTCTTCTGCGGCGCGCGTGGATCGTCGGATCCAGTCCGCCCAGGACTCTTCCACTTCTGATTAAGGGATGTCACATGGCGTAGACGAAGGCGTTGTGGTGTCGTCATCATCGCTAATACTGGTTTGGGCGTCGTGGTTGTGCGTGTCACTGTGGGCGCTCTCACCATACAGCGCGTCAGTGTCAGGAGAGCGTTGTTGCTTCGATGTGGTTGCGTTTGTCATGCGACGTGGCATGCGCACGATCATCCGGAGCATCTGCCGTTGAGACTTCCGCAGCCGTTGTTCCAATTGTTTTGTAGTGGTCCAAACTTCGCACCAATAAAGAACCGTCAGGGTGATCGTTCCGTGGAAAAGTTTGAGCCGGCCGTTGAGGGAGTAGTGGTTGCTTGTAAGTTCAGCCTTCAATGTGTGAAATTTACGCCACGCCGTGGCGATGTGATTCTCTATCTGTGTTGCAAGAAAATCGTCGAACTGCACTGTCCTCCCCAAGTATTTGGTGCTTCGACAAAGCGGCAAGACTTCTATACTCATTCCACGGCCATCAACGCGCGTGGGCGGTCGTTGTGCTCTGGATGGTCTGTGTCCGTTGTGCAGGATCTTCGTCTTGTCCGGGTGGAGGCAAAGCCCGACCTTTTCTGCTTCCCAGCATTCTCTTGACGTGCTCAAGCGTTCCGGCGACAAGAAGAATGTCATCAGCAAAGCGGCGATTCGTGAGGCGGTCGTTGGCGTTGGTCTCTAGGCATATTCCAATGTTATTTGAAGTCCAAACTTGTTTCGCCCGCCGCATCCCGTGCTCGGAAACGCTGTTGAACAATAATGAACTCAATGGGTCGCCTTGCATTGTCCCGCGTCGAATTTCAACAGTCCGACTGTTCCGGTCGGTCTTGACCGAAGCAGTTTGGTAGTAATGAAATTTCGACAACAATTACGTGTACGCTGGTGGTGTGCCCTGCTCTGCAAGCGCTTCCCACATGCTGCTGTGCGTTACGCTGCCGAATGTCTTTGTTGAAGTCAACTGCCGCCATGTACAGCGGGATCCTACATTCGCCTGGGTAACAAGATGATATGTGGTCCTGCGTCCGTGTCTGAAGCCTGCTTGGTCCGAACTCTGCTGGTAAAGCAGTCTGGAACACAATGTGTAAAGCATGGGAATGGTAGCGGTCGGTCGATCCTTTTGTGCCTGTCGTGGGCCAGCACGTGCCGAGCCAACACGCGGCGTTTTCAACTCGGACGTCTTGAGCGCGGTGCACGTGCTGCGTTCCAACACGGGCGTCCAAGGGCAACTACGGCCTGCCCAGATTTGAACAGAGACCGGCCGTGCCCACTTCCCCATGAGTCTCCCACGGAACACTCTTAGAACCAAAGGGGGTCTGCAACAGGGGGTCTGCAACAGGGGGTCTTCAATGGGGGCTGAATGGCCCATGTATGCTCAATGTATCGTTCATGTATGCGATCGGGAACGACTGGCATCCAATGTTGGCGGTCATGGAGGGCCAGTCGTTCGTGCCCGCGCGTTGCCTGCGCGGGAACACGCGCCGTCCATCCAGTATCGTTCATACGTGTGGGCGTTCTTGCATTCTGCGCGTGGGGCTGCGAAGTGGAGTGCAAGTGTGTCTTGATTGTGCGATTGATAATCGCGTATGTTCCCAAGCGATGAACTATCGACCCCCAAGACAGATTTGGAATGGGTCCCGCGACTCTCCCAAAACGTGAATTCACATTCTGGCCCCTTCAGAAAGATTCCGACACAAAATTTCAAAATGTGAATTCACATTTTCCTTTTTTCCCAACATGTGAATTCACAATTTCCTTTTCCCCAAGATGTAAATTCACATTTTGCTTTTCCCCAAAATTTGAATTCACAGTTTGCCATTGCCTTCAAGATCCCCAAAACTGAGTCGCAGTGTTCCGCACGTCAGATTGGCTGGGCAGATTTTGACCCTCACCTCACCGCTTTCGTTTATTTCAACCTTGTCTTTTGCGCCCTCAGCGCACGTTGCCTCCGTCGCCTTTCCCGAGCCCCCCGCTCCCTTGCTTCGTTTCCCCTCAAGTCTCGCGCATGGGCGCAGGCGGGGAGCTTCAATTGGCACCCCCGCCGAACACAGCAACCGAGGATGCATCGCCCACTCATGGCCCATAAAGACACACCATTGCTGGGACCCCGCGCCCGACCCCCACTTTCACCCTCCAATCTTATGAGAGAAGCAGCGACCTTATAACACACAAACGGAAAGACTGAAACAAAACACTCTCGGCCAGAAAGGCTCTCTGAACAGCCTGTGCAGGCCGAGGCACCTCGCCACCACTTGACCTACGGCGGGACCTAGGACAGAAACACATGCTTCCAGAACACGGCACCCTCCGCCGGCCAAACTGCAGAACGCTCGAAAGTGCCCTCCCCCAGGATGCACCAGAGCATCCAACAGGCACAAAGAACATTCATGGGCACCCTTCCCGAACCGACCTCGATCTTATACCTCGCTCCGACAGTACCCAGACCCACGACGTCGCGATTTGTCCACGACGTTCGGGAGCGGCTAAGAGGGGTGTGTCCAAGAGGGGGGGGTGCAAATCATGACCGGCGGCATGTGCGCGGCCCAGCGGGGGGGCCAGGGACGTAATGGAATAAGAAGGGGCGCCATGAAATCTGGGGAAATACCATGGCCCCCGCCATGATATCGACCCCCCCCTAGTCATCACCCCCCTCTTTTCCGCCCCCGAGACGTGCCCCTCAGAAGCCTGGACCCCTTCCCAGGGACCGGTTTTGCATCCTGAGCCGATTCGTTGACGCTCCTGGGGCCCGGCGAGGGGCCCCCGCATGCCGACACTGGCGAAAGGCCTCCCGCCGAGAGCTCTGTCCCAGCGCGATGGGGGCGCTGCGAGGAGGAGCAGGAGGAGGAGGAGGAGGAGGAGGAGGAGGAGGAGGAGGAGGAGGAGGAGGAGGAGGAGGAGGAGGAGAGAGCCTCCTCCTCCTCCTCCTCTTCCTCCGCCTCCTCCTCCTCCTCCTCCTCCTCCTCCTGTCCCAGGGCAGTCACATCAACGGATCTGCGGGGGCCGCTGCGCTCGCCGCCAGCAGCGCCGCCACGGCGGCCCGCTCCGCCAGCAGCGCGCGCGCCAGCCACCCGCCGAGGCCGGGTGCACCGTCGGCCTCGTGGGCGGCCGCCCCGGCCGAGGCGTCGGGGCCGACGGTGCACCGCGGAAGGCCTTGCCCGCGGAAGGCCTGCGGGCCGCCGGGCGGCGGCGGCGGCGCGCCGGGGGGCGCCCGGTCGTCCTCGGTGGGGCCCGACGGAGGGTGGAGGGGTCGGGCGTCGAGCTGTGCGACGAGGTCGCGTGCCCGAGAGAGGACGGGGGTGGAGGTGCTCCCGTCCTCGTTTTTTTCTCCTCCTCCTCCTCCTGCTCCTCCTCCTTGCCTCCTCCTCTCCTCCTCCTCCCTCTCTCCTCCTCCTCCTCCTGCCTCCTCCCTCCTCCTCCTCCTCCTCCTCCTGCTCCTCCTCCTCCTCCACCACCTCCTTCTCCTCCTCCTGCTGCTCCTCGTCTTGCTGCTGCTCCTCCTCCTCCTCCTCCTCCTCCTCCTCCTCCTCCTCCTGCTGCTGCTGCTGCTCCTCCTCCTCCTGCTCTCAAAGGTGGGAGGGGACTGAAGGACCCCTGCTCCTCCCAGTGCTCCTCCTCCTCGTGCCGCCCGCGGCGGAGCGGGGGGCGCGCGTCCTCGGATCCCGAGGCGCCGCCCGCGAGCTCCAGGAGGTCGACCGGCGGCCCCGCGGGGGCCGGGGGACGCGCGTCCATCGCCGTGCGGGGCGCTTGCGCCGCGCGCTGGCGGCGCGCACAAGGGGGCATGGGGGAGGGGCGGGGGAGGCTTCTCAGAAGGAGGCTGCATCCAAGAAGCCTTCCCACCCCCCAACCCTTAGGTCGAGCACGTCCTCCTACAAACGGATGTTGGAAGAACCATGAAAGCGAGCCGAAAATATACGCAGCAAGAATCAAAAAAAAGCCAATACATCGCCCCCAGACTAGTTTGAAACTATGTGTTGATTTCCCTCTTGTGCAGGGACATGCCCGACTTACCCCTAGCACCCTTGTGTGCGCCGCCAACTGAGATCCTGGCGTTACGCTCGTGTTTCGCACTGGGAGAGGTTGCCGTGCTTCTGGCCCCGGGGCCTCACAGATCGAGCAGGCTCGAGGAGGGGCGCAGGACGATGGGGCCCGGGGCTCCACCCGTGATATGCTGCGATGGTTCGAGGATTGTCGCAGCGTCGGATCTCAATGACTACCTACCAGACCACCCCAACCCAACCCGAAGGCCCGGATTTCGGGTTGGGGGGGGTATGGGCTCCATCTGTGTTTTTTCGATGTTCCCGGACCCCCCCCCACTAGAAATCGAGGGTAAATCTGAGCCTTCGGGTTGGGTTGGGGTGGTTTGGTGGGTGGTGACTCAAGGTGGCGGGCAAGATTTGTATCCACATCTGCTGCGTCTTGGAGCTTCGGGTGCCCTTTCCCAGGAAGCCAGGGGCGCAGTGAGCGTGGATCAACAAGTCTGGCCCCTGGAGGCCAGATTTGTATCATCCATCTCCGCTGCGCCTCGGCCTTTTGGCGTCTCTTCCCAGAAAGCCCACGACGCAGTTGATATGGGTATCAATCTCGCCCGCACGGCTTGCGCAGAGGTGTCCTGGCGGGGCCCTGATAGCCGAGACGTCGGTACTGCCTCCTGCATCGGCGAAGGCCTGAGGGCTGTATATGTGCAGAGGAAGGAGTATAACAGGGGATATGTCGACCCCTGTCCCAGGCTTCGTGGGATTCTTCCATGGACCAGGATTTTTGGGCCCAATCCTTGGATATACGATGGGGGGCGTCCGACCTCGATAGGGGTGCGTCCGAGTAGCCCACTTGGAATGTGTCCCAGGGTCCCCACCCTCTTTCTGAACGGCCAAGCCTTTCGGGCGGAACTCGGGGATTGGGGAAGAAAAATCGCATGCGAAAGTAGAGTCAGAGACGTGAGTTACATAACGCCATGAGGAGACTAGACAGCAACGCTGCGAGAGAACGCGCGCATGGAGGCCCCTGAAAGCTGGATCCGCCTCGGGGGCAGGCTGGACCGCGGGGTTCGGAGGCGGCCAAGAGGGGGGCGTCCAAGAGGGGGGGGGGTGCAAGTCGTGGCCGGCGGCACGTGCGCGGCCCAAGCGGGGGACCAGGGACGTGATGAAAGAAGAAGAGGCGCCAGGAAATCTGGGGAACTATCAGGGCCCACGCCATGATATCCACCCGCCCCTGGTCACCACCCCCCTCTCTGCCGCCCCCGAGGGATGGGTCCGGGGACAGGTTTGAGACGCAGGCCGGGCGGGAGAGCCGCCGTTTCTCAAGGGGCCCTCCTCCAGCGAGCCCCCCCCCTGGGCACGCGAGCCCGGCGGCAGGCGGCACGAGCTGGCGCGTGGAGTCCGAGGCTCCGCGGCTCTGTGGGGGCCCCGCGTCTCGGCCTCTCGCGCCTCGCGCGGTCCGGGCTCACGGGCGACACCCTCTCGAAGCGCGCACCTCCCCTCCTGCAGCTCAGCACGCCGGGCAGAGCCCCTGTTGGAGGGGCCCAGGGACGCGCAAATCAGGAGACCCACATTACAGGAGCGCGTTGCTTTATGTTCGGCGATGGCGGGCGTCATGGGGGGGGGGAGGGGGAGGGCGGGGGGGGGGTATGACGTGACGCCCCCCCCCGCCGTGTGGCTCCGGCACCACAGCCGCGCCCGCGCGCACGACGCGACGAGCGACGAGCGACGAGCGACGACGACGACGCGAGCAGCATGTAAGTGGCGATCTGCCCATTGCGCCTGTGTGCACCACAACGCTCGCGTGCACCACACCGCGCGTGTGCACCACAGCGCCTGCGTACACCGCAACAGCCGTGTGCAACGCACCGCCCACGTATACCGCAATACTTGGGAGAACTACAGCGCCGGTGTACATACACCGCAGCAGCCATGTGCAACACAACGCCTGCGTACACCACAATGCTTGCGTGCACCGCAGCGCCTGTGCACGCCACAGCGCCTGTCTACACCACACCACAGTGCCTGCGTGCATAGGACAGGTAGAAGGAGCATGTACGTAAGGATCTGCGGCGGACAACTAAACGCCACGCCAGGAAAGTTCCGAGAATCGAATGCGACGTTTTTCCCTCCTTCCTCCTCCTCCTCCTCCTCCTCCTCCTCCTCCTCCTCCTCTTCCTCCTCCTCCTCCTCCTCCTCCTCCTACTCCTTTTCCTCCTTGTTACCCCCTATCGTGCGGCTTGGCGTTACAACGCACGTGCGCAACTCAGCGTGCACCGCAGAATGGTCGATTGAATCGGTCCACTTGGTTCTCGGACGGCCAGTTTAGCTGGAGCCTCCTGGACGCAAATGGGAAGTAGGGTGATGCGGGCGGATTCGGGGGGACTCGTAGATCCAGCGGCGCTCCTTTGTCCATGAAGATTTGTTTTCCACTGTTTTCTCTGAAATCCACACGCGCTCCATTGTCACAAGGATTCCTTCTGAAATTCTATACACAACAATGGTGCTGTATTGCACACGGCTGATGTGGTGCACACACGCGCCGTGGCGCACACAGGCACTGCAATGCACCCAGGCATTGTGGTGTACAGTGGTGCTGTGTTGCGCACGGCTGATGTCGTGTACGGAAGCGCTGTGGTGTACACAGGAGCTGCTGTGCCCGCAGGCACGGTGGCACAAACTGACGCTGTGTTGCACGCGGCTGCTGTGGTGTACATCGGCGGTGTGGTGTACACAGGCGCTGTGGTGCACGCGGGCACTGTGATGTACACAGGCTTTGTGGTGCATATCGCCACCTACATGTTCGTGCTACCCGTCCTCCGTCAATCCTAAGCATTTCCAAACGCCGCCGGCGCGAAACGTGACGTCATCGACCCCCTCCCCCCCCCAGATGACTGCCGTCATCGGCTGGGACTTAAAAACGGGCTCCAGCCGCGTCCGCGCGCACGACGACGATGAGCGACCAGCGACGAACCACGAGCGACGACGACGGACGACGACGACGACGACGACGACGACGACGACGACGACGACGACGACGCCTGCGGACCAGACACCTATGCGGATTCCTACGCGGACACCTGCGCGGATCCCAATGCGCACGGCTGCAGTGCCCGGAGCGCACTGGGGGGGGGAGCGTTACGTCATGGGGGGGGGGACCGGGGGCCATGACGCCCGTCATGCCCCACGCAATAAAGAAACGGGCTCCAGGTTCCCCATATTGAACACATTTCCTGGATGTCCTTCTTCCCCTCCACTTCGCACATTTTGACTTTCCAGGGGATCGGTAATCGTCCGAGTCTGCGTGCTTTTTCGTCTCCTGAGCTGCTCTCTTGTCATCCGCGCAAGTTGTCTGCCGCACGGAGCTAACAAACAAGAGGCGTCGAGCAGCCGTGTACAGACTGCGTGACGGCTAGAAGATTGCGACGCGCGTCACAGCTAACAGCACAGGCGTCGCCTTCTTGAACAGTAGAAGAGGAGGAAGAGGAGGAGGACGAGGCTGCGCATGGAAAGGCCTCCGCCGCCCCATTGCTGGAAACTGGTAGCAGATGCTATCCTGATGCACCCCGCCGCTGCTCCTGACTTTAGCAGGTAGCACGGCGTCTGTAAGCCAGAGCCCCTGGGGAGTCTTTGTGCACACAAGGGGCATTCTGACGTGTCGGACTTAGAAGCGCTCAGAACAACTGGTCCGCGTGCGCTATGTAAAAAAGGGGGCGGAGGAAGACCTCCGATCGTTTGCAAGGTCTGCCCAACCACCAAACCACGCCACCCCGGCCTTCGTGTGTCCACTGTCTCCCATCAGGGAAGTCCAAAAGTGGCCATCACGAGGATCTCTGTGCAAGGGCGAACGGTCCGGTGGCGCTGCCAGCGCAGAGGCGGAGCCTCATCAGTCAATGATCTTCAGCGCCAATCTCATAGTCAAGGTTGCCATCGTGGTCGACGACGTCGTCGAGCAAACCAGCAATCAGCTCGTGCTGCTCACGGAGCTGCTCGAGGCCAGGCTGCTGCACCCATTTGAGGCACTTCGCGTCGCACTCTGTGCCGGCTGCGACCCACATCAGCGCCTCCATCTCGTGCTCGGAGTCGCCCAGCGAGACAATGTTGCGTCGCAGGGTCATGTCTGACTTGCCAGATGCACTGTAGAAGTCGTCCACCAGCTCTTCGAATGCGAGGCATTTCCACGTCGTCGGCGCAAAGACGCCCTGCTTCTCGTGGCGCGAACGCGCGGAGACGATCCTGACGCCTTCAAGGTGCGCCCGCAGCGAGGGCATAATAGCCTCACAGCTCATTTCCACCCAGCCCTGCTCAGCGTTGGTAACAATAGCCACGCCACCCCGCTTCTTCGCAACCTCGAGCGTCACGGCTACCACATCTGCCAAGGCCTGCAGCTGCTCGTCTTGCTGCTGGGTGATAACGGCCCCATTCTCAAGGAGGCCCTGCTCCCTCAGCCAGGTGGTTGGGAACAGAGTGTCGTCCCAGTCGAAGATAATCAGGTTTTCGCACGGCGCCAACCATGCGAGTCGATCTTGATTGACAGGCTGGCGTTCGGATGACACCAGAGCGTCACTCCCGAGCTCCCCAATCTCGGTCGAAGCGGAGCTCGCACCGTCGTCTTCCAAGGTGGAAGGGGAAGCTTTGCTGTCCTCCACGCCCTTCAGGATCTCACAAGGTCGTCTGCGGTGCTCGGTGCAAGGCGCGGGCATGGCGCGTCTGCTACTGGAAGGATATGTATGCTGCAGGGGCCCGGCGCACTGTACAATCGCCTGCCGGAGCGAGGAGCGCCAGGTTTGGCCTGGATCAAAACTGCTGCAGATGGTGGAGAGCTGCCATCGCCAGGAATGGTGGCGTGCACACAAAGTCTCCGAGCACACAGCGGGCCGGTCTTGAGGCCCAGCAGGGTCTGGCCCCGTGGGCCGCGTGCCTGGGCACTATACAGATATGGTCGCGCGGTTGCCACTCGGACGACGGGTGAGTGCTTCTGCGCCTGCCACGGACACGTCCACCAACGGAACGGTACACAGCAGGATATGTCTGCCAGCGAGGACGCGAAACGATTAGCATGTGCACTCAGGATGTGCGGACTATGTGTGGTGGACGCTATCGGGGGCAATTCATGGCGAATAAGACACACATACACAAATGTGCACACATGCGGTGCAAGCATTGTAGTGGCAACTATGTGGTGCACTCCACCTGGGGAAATTGCAGTGTCGTCAAATCCAGTGCTAGCTAAAACATCCCACACTTCAACCCACAACTTGTTGGGAAAACCCATTTTGCCATGATCTCAACACGCGCACGGGCGCGTGGGACCTAACAGCGCAGACAAATTCGTCATGCAGCTCATGAAATGGTTTTGGCCATGGTGACATCCGCAACGGTGATGACGATGGAGATGACAGTTGTCATGACGCTGATGCCGATGGTGATGGCAATGGCGATGGAGACAATACGATGTTGACGACGGCCATGGTGATGGTGATGGAGCTGATGGTGATGATCATGACGGTGGCAAACGTAACGCTGGCGATGATGATGACCAAGGTTGCTGCTGATGATGATGATGATGATGATGATGATGAAGTGCCCGCGCGCAGAATTCTGACGAGGGCGATGACGATGATGACGGCGGCGGCGATGATGACGACGATTGTGGTGATGGTAATGACGATGGCCATAACGACGCTGACGAAGATGAGCCCGATTCTGCTGCAAAACTGTCCAGGAAGTGGGCGCCCGCAGAAATTATACACCTTAAGAAAGTTGTATGGAAAAATGGGTGTTCGTACATTATTGGAAACCTCCGTGCTGAACTGGGGAGGAAACCACTGGACCACTGGTTCTGGAACACGTTCGGCGTGCGCGCGTGGCGGACGCGCGAGTGCGTGGACAGCACCGTATCATGTGACAGTGTCGGTGGGCGCGCGATCGTGGATGAACGTTCTCGACATGCGCGCGACACAAGTGGCCCAGATGGTCTCATGTAACAGAATGGCTAAAAGCCGATGGCTTCCTTGCAGCTTCACCGAACGTGCTCGCAGATTTCGGGCAATTACTGTTGTGAAACCGTTCGCTTGAACATGAGGCATTGTGGCAACAGAACCCCGCTGGCTTTTGAAGAATATTGACGCGAGCGCATGTGCTCCGCGATACTTGTACTGCAAAGGGATCTTTGCAAAAACGCTTGCTATGCCTAATTATGCGACCACCCAACGGGTGATAGGGAGGTTGGGCGGAGACAAAAAAACAACAACCGAGGACAACTGCGATGATTGTGATGGTGGCGGTGCTGGTGATGCGCTCACGCGTTGGCGACGATGCAAGACGACGATGCTGACGACAACGCATGGTGGCAATGCGCTAACACCGGGTAGCATCAAGACACCAATCGGGACGCCAGTCGGGACACCCGCGGGACACCAATCGAGACACCCACCAGGACACCGACGGGACACCAATCGGGACACCAATCGGGACACCAACGGGACACCGCCCGGAAACCGACGGGACACCACAGGAAACCGACGGGACACCAACGGGACACCGACGGGAGAGACACCGACGGTACACCGACAGGACATCGACGGGACACCGACGGGACAGCACTGCGGGACACCTTTGGCCACCGGAACACCCTCCGGCGGGGTGGTTCTTTCTCGACCCAGCCCAGCCACAGAGGAGACATTCCTGTCGCCCGCCCACGCAGCTTCGCCTCGCTCGCACGCACGGAACGAACCCGATACCGAAACCGATTTCCTGGTGGGGGGGTCTCCGTTCCACTTTGATTTCACCCCCCCAACTTCGATCTCACCACCCTAACCTCCGATCACGCATGGCCGGGGGGGATCGATACTGGTTGTGGGCACGAAGTCGTCTGCAACGTGAACGATTAGGCAAGATCATATGTAAAAGGTGCCATCCCCCTTGGAGCGGCGAGCTCCAGGCTCGGGATAACGGTAACGTCTGCTCTTCTCTTGAAAGGGTAGTGGGTATAGTGCGAGCTATTTGGTGGAAAAACTATGCGGTGCAGACAAGCTGTGTGGCGCAAGCTGTGTGCTGCAACCTGCGTGGTGAACCCACCGTGCTTGATGCAACCGAAGTGGTGCATTATTTGCAGCGCAGCCAGCGCCCGCTGCGCCCACGAAACGCCCACGAGCGGTCATCTTAGGGTAATCCTGAATGGCCACCCGGCGCGAGAGGCGCCAGCGAGGCGCTCATGGCTGGCAGCGGGCCGACATCCTGGACATGGCAGCGAGCACGCGGGGCGGCGAATACCGCCGACGATTTGGCGAAATCGGAAAGCGACAGTCAATGTACAGCAGGCACATACGTTAAGAGATCACGCTGTTCTTGGAGCACATTCTTCGTCGATGTTTGAGGTCAGCAGGGTGCCCCTGATCTTCTGCGGGGTGTCTGGGGACATCGGGGGAAAAGACATTTGCGCGAGGCACCTGCTCGCAGGCCGGTTTCGGATCTGCCGTGCCTGTTGTATGAAGGAAGAGCCCCTGTGTGCCAGCACCGTTTGGAGAATCCAGAGGTAGATGCTCCTGCGCATGTCCTGTATTCCCAGCTCGTGAGAACAGTGACTAGCGACCATCATGATCAGGGAGGGGGGTGACAGCGTTGAAAAGGCGGGCAGGGAGGAACAACAAGAAGAGTTGGGTGAAGAAAAGAGTGAGAGTGAACAGCGACAGTGGCAGATTATTCGCCACGTGAACGACCGTGAGCAGATGGGTCCTCACCATTCGGCGCAAACGGACTCCCAAAAATCACTGCAGCAGATGGTCGATTGTAACCGAACTGGACTACGGCGAATCACAGACGCCCCCTGCCCTATGGAAACGCCCATGCGGCCGACCGCTGGGCCAAAGGTTGTCAAAGCTAGTCAAAACTATTGGATTACGCGTTCCCCCAAAAATTATGAACTCCTTGAGAAAACATTTGGGCGAGGAGAAGGTCGGAGGGAGAGAGGGAGGAGGACGAGGAGTGAGAACTGTAGGCCTCCTGAGGCCCTCTTGGAGCTTCTTGGGAGCCTCTTGGGGGCCTCGGAGGGGCCGCTTGGGGGCCTGCTGGGTCCTTTTCCTCTTGTTGCCTCTTGGGGTCATCTTGGGGGTCACTGGGTGCCTCTCAGGGACCTCTTGGCCTTTGGAGGCCGCCTCGGTGCCCTCTCGGGGCAGCCGTGGGTCCCTTCCTCTTTGGGTGATGTAAGGCCGCCTTGGAAGTCCATGGTGCCGTCTTGGGGCTGCTTGGGGGCCTCTTGGGCCGTCTTGGGGCCCTCGCGGGCCTCTTGAGGGCCTCCTGGGCGCGTCGGAAGCCCGAGAAGGCGAGAACGCTAACATCATTGAAAAACCAATTCACAGGAAATCGCTGACTTTGGGTTCCTGGGGGTCCTCTTGGAATCCTGTTGGGGTGTCTTGAGGGCCTCTTGGGCAGTCTTGGAGGCATCTTGGGGCCATCTTGGGCTAGCTGTCTTGGAAACCATCTTGAAAACCATCTTGGGGTTGCTTCGCTAGGGGGGACCGACGGGGGACGCAAATTCTGGGTAGCGGGCGGGTTGGGCCGAGAGCCCACTGGGAACACGAACAAAACCACTCTGAAATCCAGCAAGCCGTGTACCCCCTCGGCAAACCACAGGAGGCGGCGGATTAGGGCTTCTCGCGGCTCTGATCACACGCTCTCGTCATCCTCATTGCTGCAGCATCGATGCGAGTCAGCCCGGCCGATCACGCGAACGGGCGCTATGGCTGAGGCTGCGCCCTCGGAAACGCTGGTTTGGATTGGCCCGGGCTGGCCCCCGTCCGTGGGCGCGGCGGCCCCGCGCAGTCTTGCAGCACGTGTCCAAGGACAAAGTGTACTGTGCAGCGGCGGCGTGGAAACCGTGCGGCCAAGGAGAGCTGGCGACCAGTGGCCGCACGAACACTCCCCCTCGTCCTGCCACCCTCCTCCCCCTCAGAACATGCGTCGACTTTGCACCTGGAAGCCAGAAAAGCAAATGGCTGGACGGAACACACGTCGGCTGCACGCGAGAGTGATCTTCGGTGCACGGCCTTCTGGGAGGCGCGGGGGGGCCAAACCCAGGCGTGCAAGCCGCTGCCATCGCATCGCACTCAGCGGTCGGAGGACCCCAAGGAGCCCGCACCAAAGGCTACTCCAGCGAGGGTGCACTCTTACTTGTGGTCAAATCCCGAGGCCACACGATGGACACGCGTGCGGAAGCCTGGCGTACATGGGAATGCGAGGCCCGAGCGCGGGAAAGACCTGTGGCCACAGGTGCGCATCCAGCTCTCGCACACGCCTGCCGCACCCTCTGTGTGTCCAGCTTCACGACAGTCCCCGCCGCGGCTTCCTGCAGCATCACTCCGAGACCCCCTCTAACCTCCCTGGCTTTGAGGAGCGTCTGCCTTCCCGGGGAAGAATGAGGAGGAGGAGGAGGAGGAGGAGGAGGAGGAGGAGGAGGAGGAGGAGGAGGAGGAGGGGGAGGAGGAGTGAGGAGCCACCGTAGCATCGAAGGGGGGAAGGAGGAGGAGGATGAGGAGGAGGAGGAGGCGGAGGAGGAGGAGGAGGAGGATGGAGAGGACGGGGGAGGGGGAGAGGAAGAGAGAAAGGAGTGCGAGGACAGGGAGGATGGGCGAGGGGCGGGGTTTCGCTGGGTGACCGCCTCCACCACAGCCCCACCTCACCCGAGGCGGCACGCGCGCAGGGA